CCTTTCAAAAAGGGCGAAAGAAACAGGTGGAGAATGCCTGCAAATGTTGCCAAGAAGCAATATAACCATCAGGCAACTGCTTTTGCGTTTAGAAAGCATGATGAGCCACAGAGACCATCCAGCAGCATGTTTATGACGACTGCAAAGTGTATAGATGTGCCACTCTTTCTAGTGATCACTAATGTTTCTTTTTAATTTTTTTATGCAGTACCCAGATTTGAAACCTCCATCTTCCCCAACGCCGTCAAAGTCATGAGATTGATGCAGCAGTACCCAGATTTGAAACCTCCATCTTCCCCAATGCTGTCAAAGTCATGAGATTGATGCAGCAAGTTCGTTGCTTTGAACTGCATCCTCCTTTTAGGCTGGAACTGATTTTAGATCTATGAGGGCAGCTCTTTGTTTCTGGTATTGTTACCAATGCATTTTTTTGTTTTTTTGAGTTAGTCCTCGAATGAGTATGGCAGCCAACCTCCGATAAAAGCTAAGGGATCACAACTTCGATATGTGCTAGGATCGCTTCACCACCCTTGTTGGTGCAGCTGTCTCCGTGGCCACCACCCTCCTTCCTATCATGGTAAAAGAGTAGTTTATGGATTTAAATTAAAAAATATAAAATGTAGATATTAAATTCAATTTAACCCAAAGTTCAGTGTAGGTTTTTTGTCATTTATCCTTCACCAACATATTTATGTGATGTTTGGTAGTAAAAGGAGGGATGGTGGAGATACGAATGCAAATTTTATTTTCATTTTCATTTTATAGTTATTTCTTGAAATGAATGAAATAGAAATGAAAATGAAGAGTGAGAATGTGATCGAAAATTAAACGTTAATTCCATTTAGATGGAGAGATGAGAATAAAAATAAAGAAGGAAAATGTTTTCTTAAAAAAATAATATATTATTTTTATTTATTGTGTATCAAAAACTTCTATCACCATCACCAATCAATCACTAACATCATCATTGTTGGTGGCCATGAATTTTTTATTATTCCATATATACTTTTTAATTGTAAATTATAATGTTCATTTTATCTATGCTTTCTTTATCCATAATTTTTTATTGGAAAAAAACAAGACACAAAAATGTGAAAAAATAAAAAATTAAATAATTTCTTTCTTTTTTTTAATAAAAATCAATCAATTAGATTCTATTTTCCCGTAAAACATTAATTAATTTCCAAAGTTCTTTCTCATAAAATTGATGTGATAGGCCAAACTATATATAAAAAAACATAAAACCCTCGGGTCTTTATATATATATATATATATATATATATATATATGTATGTATGTATGTATGTATGTATGTTAGATTTTTTACTATAGTCATAGACATGGTATACTATGCATTGTTATATTAAAATTACTTATTTACTCTTGAATGGAGAGTGAAAAAAGCCTTAAAAGGTGATGATATTTTTATTATTTTTTATTAACCTATTAATCATTAAAAAATTATTTAGATGTGCTTAGATTTTTTTTAATTGTAAAAATACTCATTTACTCTTTTACTCTTGGAGTTAACAAAACTCAGAGCTATTAACTAGTATTTTTTTTATTTTTTATAAATTTTTAAACAATAAAAATATATTTTTTACCTTCAAGTTCAAAATATTGTTGTGCTTTTGACCAAGAGTTTTCTTGATTTTTTCATTATTTATGTATATTTAAATATGATTTTGACATTAGAAAAGATAAAAAATCAAGTATATATTTTTAAATATTTTTGTATTTTTACATGTTTTTTTGGGTAATTATTAGGGTCATGGATGTGTTCTGGTATTTTCATGTTGATTTTTATTTTATTTTTTAATAAAAAAGGAGCTGGTACATATGATATATTTGCACCATTTGGTGGCCAAACCTGATCTTCTGTCATTTTTTTAGATGTGTTATTGTGTCTTCTTTCACATAATATAGTACATGACAACTTTTGGTGGCTGGATTGTCACCGATGCTTATTTTTGTTTTTCTCTTTTCTGCTAGGTAAATTGCACAATTGTTCTTTTTTTATTTTTCAATTTTAGTTCTTATTCTTTTAATTTTTTAATTTATTCTTATTTTTATTGAAGTTTTTTTTTCCAGTTTAATCTTTTAATTACAATTTCTCATATGTTTTGTTTTTTATTTGGTCTTTCTTCTTCTTCTTTTTTTCCATGATCTTTTTATCAAAAGTTTTTTTTTTGCTTTCAATTTCATCATTCATTTAAAATTTTGTTGTTCTATTTTTTTCAATTTGACCCTTGTTTTTTTTATTTGTTTTTCCTTTGGTTAAACCTATTATCAATTTAATTTAATCTTCCAATTGAAAATTATTGTTTGTCCTCTTTTTAGATCTTTTTAGGTGATTTGTTATTTTTTTTTTATCTTTCAATATTTGATTTGTTAAGGATTCGATTTCATATGAACTTATCATTTTGCATTCATATTTTTAAATATTATTTTTATGATTTTTTTTTTTTTCTATATTTATCTCAGTCTTATGATCTAGGTCATAGGTTTTGCGTGTCTTTTTAGAATATAAGTTTTTTTAATTTTTTTTTGTATTTGATTTTTTAAGATATTATTCTAAGTCACCTATAATTTTTTTAGTTTTATACAAATGACCTTTATTTTTCAAAATAAAAAATAATATTTTTTAAATAATCTTTCTGATATGTTCGATCTTGAGTAATATTTTTTTAAGGTGTGAGTTTATTAATTCAGTTTCATTTATATTTATCTTTCTGGTCACAATTTTTTTACAATGTGAATTTATCTTTTATTAATTTAAATAAATAATTTCAGTAAACACATTCAGATGAATGTTTTATTTTGTGTGATTAAATATCTTGATCGTCATTCATTTCTTAATTTTTTTAATCTATCTTTTGGTTATTGTTAATAATGTTTTTCATTTATTTACATAAATAATTATCAATTTATTTAATTAGATGATTGTATAGGCTTTGAGTCTTTTTTTATGTAAAAGAATATACTAAAGTAGCTTATATACCTGATATTTTTTTTAAAAAAAAATTCAAAATCTATACTGAAATACGGGTTGAATAGGTAGCGTGTATATGTCTATATATATATATATATATATAATGATAACTTAACAATGTTGTTGATCAAAACTACCAAAAACAAAAAATCTAATTGATAATTCATTAATTTGTTGAAGACCTAATCGAGATTGCCCAATACATTGTGGTGTGCCCAAGATATTTCCTTCATAAAAAAATAAAATAAAAGGAAGAAAAAGAACTTAAGCAACCTCCTTGGCCTTACCATGTCAACTAATTGTGCACCTGCGGATACGCTAAGGCCACAAACGAAATCCCTCCAATGGAATCGAACACGTTTGACACCTCACCAACAACAGCCACAAGTTTGCAAGCAATCGATACTCTTTTAGCCTAGTTAGAAAATCAGGCTCCTTCCTTCCTTTCGTTACTTATATAACTGTACACTCTATTCTTCAAGGTCTTTTAACACAGGAAGAAAAGGGGGCTATCAGATGGCTACTGCTGCTTCTCCAATGGCCAGCCAGCTCAAGAGAAGCTTTGCCTCATCTTTAGCAAGGAGGCTTGTCATTCCCACAACCATTTATGGAGCTCCATTTAGAGTTTCACCCAGCAAGAGAAGCTTCACTGTCAAAGCCATTCAATCAGAAAAGGTGACAAGTTCTGTTTTTCTTGCCTGCCTGCCTTTCTTGTTGACCATGTCTAGCTTACTGCTGTTGTTTAGACAAGTTCATATGAAATCATGATAAATATTTCCCTTGTTCAAATCATGCAGCCAACATACCAGGTGATACAACCAATCAATGGCGATCCATTCATTGGAAGCCTTGAGACTCCCATTACATCAAGCCCACTGATTGCATGGTACCTGTCAAATCTGCCCGCCTACAGGACAGCAGTCAGCCCACTTCTCCGAGGAATCGAGGTTGGACTGGCCCATGGCTTCCTCCTGGTAGGACCATTTGTCAAGGCTGGTCCACTGAGGAACACAGAGTATGCAGGTGCAGCTGGATCTTTGGCTGCAGGTGGTCTAGTTGTGATACTAAGCATTTGCTTGACCATGTATGGAGTCGCATCCTTCACTGAAGGAGAGCCATCCACTGCCCCGGGTCTAACCTTGACCGGAAGGAAGAAGGAGCCTGACCAGTTGCAAACTTCGGATGGATGGGCCAAGTTCAGTGGAGGATTCTTTTTTGGTGGAATTTCTGGTGTCATCTGGGCATATTTCCTTCTCTATGTCATTAACCTTCCTTACTACGTTAAGTAGAGAAAAATCGACCTTTTGCTCTGTTTGTTGTTACTCCTCTCTTATTCATTTGCAAAAACATATTCCATATTTGTACTTGAATCTCTGTTTTAAAACCCGGCCTGCCGGTGGGTTGATCGGGACCCCGTAGATCCTGAGCTTTGGCTGCGTTGGTTTCAATAAAAATAAAGAAAAAATTGACTTAATGTGATATGGTAAAAAATCAGGGTTGACTGAGCGACCGGGAAAAACCCCTGTGAGTTTTTTTTATTTTTCCAAAACAATATAATATTAAAAATATATTTCCAACGCCAATTTTATGCCAGGTTTACACCAGAGGCCATAAATTGGCAGTTCGTTAACTAATATAAAAAAATGTTTAAGAATATGATGTTGTCGGATATAATAGTTTTTTCACGTACAATTAATGGTAGTGTTTTGTCCATTAAAAACATGTTTTATATGTTTTTTCTTATTTTTTTATGTAAATCCTAAAAAAATATATTATTATACCAATCATATACTTCTAAACATATGCTAAGATTATATTCTAAACAATATTTTATAAAAAATTATTATTATAATACTTTTATATTATTTTAATGTGTTGATATTAAATATAATTTTTTTAAAATAAAAAATATTATTTAAATATATTTCTAAAAAAAATGATTTTTTTTTTAAAAACTTATTGTAAGGATATTTCTTTTTAGTTTTTATTCAAAACAGATCCTTTTCAAAGTTGAGATGACAAAAGAACTATCCTAGCCTTGAATTGGATCAGCCTGGGACTGGTCTAATAACTATTTAGAAGAGAGGTTCTCTGATATCCGAAACCAGCAATACAATTCAGCAGTCACGAGCCATTGGAGTATTGGAATTTATTACCCAAAACTACAAAAACCTTGTCTCACACTGGCATGGCTGGCTCACCCAGAAAATGAGAAGACGACACGTCTGATAAGTACCAGGTACCGATGAATCATTCGAGTTCCATGTTATCTTCTGTTGCAGGGTGCTCAGCTTTGCCGCCAAACTTAGGTACAAAGCCCAAAAACACTCCAAACAGAAGAAGACACTTCATCTCTCTTCTACAAAATTGCAAACACAATAACCAAATCCCACCAATCCATGCTAAAATCATAAGGAACCACCGTCACCAAGACCCCTTTGTTGTGTTCGAGCTGCTTCGTGTTTGCTCCAATCTAAACTCCATTGGTTACGCGTCCAAGATCTTCTCCCAGACTCAAAACCCAAACGTCTATCTTTACACTGCTCTTATTGATGGGTTGGTGTTATCTTGCTATTACACTGACGGGATTCATTTATATTATCAAATGATCAATTCATCACTTGTGCCCGATAGCTATGCGGTCACTTCGGTTTTAAAAGCTTGTGGGTGCCACTTGGCTTTGAAAGAAGGTAGAGAGGTTCATTCCCAGGTCTTGAAACTGGGTTTAAGTTCAAATAGATCGATAAGAATTAAACTAATTGAGCGTTATGGGAAAGGCGGAGCTTTTGAAGATGCAAGGCAGGTTTTCGATGAAATGCCTGAAAGAGATGTTGTTGCGTCGACTGTCATGATAAACTATTACTTTGATCATGGGTTGGTTAATGAGGCCACTAGTGTGTTTAGTTTGATCAGGATAAAGGATACGGTTTGTTGGACTGCGATGATTGACGGGCTGGTTAGGAATGGAGAGAGCAATAGAGCTCTAGAGGTTTTTAGAAATATGCAAAGGGAGGATGTAATGCCTAATGAAGTTACTATTGTTTGTGTTTTATCTGCTTGTTCGGAATTGGGTGCTTTGCAGCTTGGAAGATGGGTGCACTCTTATATGGACAAGCATGGCATTGAGCTCAACCAGTTTGTTGGGGGTGCTTTAATCAATATGTATTCCAGGTGCGGTGATATAGATGAGGCGCAAAGGGTTTTTGAACAAATGAAGGAGAAAAATACTTATATTTTGCTATCGAATGCGTACTCTTCATCAGGGAAATGGAAAGAGGCTGCAGAAGTAAGAACAAATATGAGGGAGGAGGGAATAGAAAAGGAACCAGGGTGTAGTTCCATTGAAGTGAATAATGAAATTCACGAGTTCCTTCTGGGAGACCTCAGACACCCCCAAAAGGAAAAGATCTACAAAAAGTTGGAGGAGTTGAACGAAATATTAAGATTAGAAGGATATACTCCAGCGACAGAGGTTGTGCTGCATGATATTGAGAAATCAGAAAAAGAATGGGCTTTAGCAATACATAGTGAGAGGCTTGCTATCTGTTATGGACTCATCTCAACTAAACCATTGACTACAATAAGAGTTGTGAAAAATTTGAGGGTATGTGATGACTGTCACTTAACGATCAAGCTCATTTCAAATATTACAAGGAGAAAAATAGTGGTGAGGGATCGCAATAGATTTCACCATTTTGAAAATGGGGTTTGTTCTTGTGGGGACTATTGGTGAGATGAAGATTATAAAAGTCTATAAATGATGTTATTATGCACTGTAACTTTTTTATTCTTCTCCTCCTCCTCCGGAAAAGGAAAAAAAAAAGAAGAAATTCTTGTCCTTAAATGTTAGTTTATTTGGTTAACGATTACTATAATTCCTGAGAATGAGAAAGGGTGATGCGGGTTGGAGTTTTATTCTGAACTTTCAGTCTTGCCTCCTGGT